GGCATCAGTCTCTGAATGGATTGATGATGTATCATGAAGAGAACTGTGTGAGTTCTACCTGTCATAAGAAGGGATTAGTTCTCATGAGAGTGGGCTGTTATAGAAGAGGGTTGCCCACAGCTCACTTCCTCTTTGCGTGCACTCATCATACTCTCTGCCTCTGTAGGTCATGTTCCACCTATATGAATCATAAATCAATAAACCGCTGTTTCTTTCTTTAATTATTTAATTCGATTTATCATTACTGTTTCTTAATTTGACCAGAGAAGAAGACAGAGAAAAAGAGAGAAGGAAAGTGAGAAATATGCCTCCAGGCCCAGAACTCAAACCATAGTGGGCCATGTAGGAGTCCAGCACCCCAACTACCATGCCATGTGCCAGCCCCAACCTCTGTTTCTTTATAGATCACTCAACTGCAGGTATTTCTGTGAGCCATGAAATAAGAGACTAAGAGAACACCTGCATGAGGGGACTTCAAAATGTTTGTGGAAAATGGAAATAAAATTAGTTTATTTTGGTTAAAAAAAAATAGAAATCCATAGTTCTAATATGCACTTTCCACGAACTTTCTGGAGAACCTTTACGTATTATAACACTATATTGTATACCTTATATATACACAATAAAATTCATCTTAAAGTTCATTTCTTCCTTCCTTCCTCTCTTTTTATCTCTTTTTCTTTCTTTCATGAGGCTGGTGGTAATATCCTTGACAGGATCTCACCAAGCTGTGATCCTTCCCTCCAGCATCCCAGCAAGCCAAGATCACAGGAACATGCAGGTGCATCCGTTGTTTTCAAGTCAATGAAGGATCCAAACCCAGGCCTCCCATGTGACTATAGTATTGTCACTGCAGCTGGGTCACAGTAAAATTTTTTTTAGAAAGCTCTTTGGGCTGGCCGCATAGCCTAGTGGTTAAGGGAGCTGATTCCACATGGTTGATTGCAATTTGAATTCCAATCCTTACAGCTTTGAAAAACTCACCTGGCATGTGTACATGTCCCAAGTCCTCACAGGTTGGAGAAACAGAGGATAAATGTTCCATATTAAACATCAGTAAAATGAAATGAAATGGTCTGGCAGATAAAGAAATTCCCAGGTAGTAGGAAAAGCTATAAACAACATGCAAAATGAATGAAGAACCCAATCTAGAGATAAATATAACTTTAGGAAAATAAGTAGGTTTCCTGTGAATGCTTTAGACTACAAGGGAACTTGAAAAGAATATAAATTCAATAAAGTGCACAAGCTCAAATACGAGTTGATAAAACAACAAAATAGAGGAAAAAGAAGATTAAAAGCAAAGAAAAAATTAAAACCTACATAAGATAATTCATTCAAATAATTTAATTAGAAATAGGCAAAAAGTAGGGGAGGGGAACAAATTAATGATATGGAGAAATGGGTTGAGATAATCATGGTTAGTTGCTTTCATCAATCTCTTTTTCTACCACATTAGACAGAAATGGAGGATGAAAAGAATCCAATATTCCTAAAGCAGAGAAGTTAACCAATGAAGCAGGAACAAAAGTGTTCAGAATGCCATAGAAATTTTTTTCCAGCAATGAGTAAAGACTCCATAAAGGCACAACAAATATCAGGAAAATGGATACAGGATGTTCATCATCGAGTTATATCCTTGTCAAGTTACTAAACTTCAAGAAAAAGGAAAGGAATTGTTCAGGCAAATCCAACTATACACACACACACACACACACACACACACACACACACACACAGAGTTATGAAGTTATGAACAAGGGAGAAAAACAAGAAACAAGTTGTCTTCAAACTTTGCAGTTAGCATTCAGTGGCAGAAGACAATGGAACAATGTCTACCCATTTTGAAGGAAAGACACTGTTACCCAAGCATATAATATGCAGCCAAGATACCATTCAAGTATAAAGGCACTTGGCAGACATTTTTAACATGAAAGAATACAATAAATATAGCAATATAGCCCCCGCAAGTTCTTTTTTTTTTTTTTTGAGAGGTTTTTGCTATAGGGCGCGTGCGCTCGCCAGCCAGACAGAGAGAGACAGAGAGACAGAAAGCGAGAAATCACCCCCCAGGGGGGATGGCCACGCCGCAATCTCTTCTCCTCCATTCTCCTCTCGGGATCTTGGGCACGCATGTACCTGCGCCCAGCGTGAGTTTTAAGCCACCGGTCCGGGACACGAACTGCGGTCAACTACGCGGGAGTCCAGCGACATAGCCATTACGTTAACTGCTGGTCCCAACACCTGCAAGTTGGGAACTTCTTCATGATAAAATCAAGACAATCAAGAAATATATCAGGGGGCTGGCTCTGTGGTGTAACGGTAATGCTCTGCTCAAAAAAAGTCAATTCCCAAAACGTGACCACGGTTCGAATCCCTGCACAGTCAGCCTGAAACATGCTGGGCACAGGCATGAGTGCCCAATATCCAATTGACCAGAGGACTGGAGAAAGGGGATTGCAGTGAAACCCTGTGAGGTGCAATTACTCCTCCCCTGCAATGTGTACATGATCTATCACAAATAAAGAAAAAAAGGAAATATATCGAAGTGAACTTCAGAATAGAGAAACCATGGTACAAGGCCTCATTGTAAACAAACAATTCTTTTAAACATGAAACTAAAACTAAATTAGCAGATAAAACAAGCATATGATTTATAGCTATGTAACAGAATGTAAATATAACCGCAAGAAAGTAAAAATAATTTTAGTAACAAGTACTAGAAATGGAAGGAAGAATTAGAAGTGCATTAAAGCTGATTTCTTCCTCTTTCATGGCAAAGAGTCCACTGATAATGTTTAATATCAAAACATCTAGACTTAGGACCAGCAGATAGCATAATGGTTATGTCACTGGGCTTCCATGTAGTGGACTGCAGTTTGAGTCCCAGACCTGGCAACTTAAAACTCATGCCGGGTATGTGTGCATGTGTGCCCAAAATCCCAAGAAGAGAATGGAGACGGGATTGTAGCATGCCCATCTGTCCTGGGGGATGATTTCTCACTTTCTGTCTCTCTGTCTTTGTCTCTCCAGTGAGTGCATGCACCCTATAGCAAAAATATCTCTCTAAAAAAAAATCTAGACTTAAAAAATACCTAGCTGACAATTAACTCCATTCATTAGTATCTACCTAAGAGAAATGAAAATATATATCCACATGAAACTCATAATGAATGTCCATAGCAGCATAGACTTTTTTGTCATAGGATGTGTGCACTCACCAGAGAGATACAGAGACAAAAGGAAAGTGAGAAATCATCCCCCAGAAGGATGGCCATGCCACAATCCCTTCCCTTCCTTTTTTCCTCTCAGGATTTTGGACACATATACACATGTACCCAGTGTGTTTTTCAAGTCACTGGGTCTAGGACTCAACTGCCAAGTTGGTCATGTGAGACCCAGCACCTTAACCACCATGCCAACAGGCCCACATCTCTCTTTTTAAGTTTATTTATTTTATTTATGATAGACAGTGTTTACATGCACACAAGAGAAAGAAACAGAAAGAGAGAAGCACCCTTGATAGGGTGATCATTTTTCCTCCACCCTCTGGCTCGTCAGGATCTTGGACATGCACACAGGCACTAGGCATGTTTTTAAGCTGACCCTGAAATCTGAACCTGTATTCAGTCATATAGCTTTCATCACTACAGTTCAGTTCAGCAACATTATTCTTAATAGCCAAAAAGTAGAAACAACTCAAATGTCCATCAGTAGACAAAAAATATGGTATATACATATAATGAAATACTATATGACAATAAAAAGGAATGAAGTACTGATACATACTATAATGTATATGAACCTTGAGAACATTATGTTAACTGAAAGCTAGTCACAAAAGAGCACAGATTATATGATTCTATTTATGTAAAATATCCATGATAAGTAAATATATAGACAGTAAGTAGACCAGTGCCTGCTTAGGAAGAAGGATGGGAAGTGGGGTCTGATAGCTAAAGGGTACAGGGCTCCTTTTTTCAGGTTATGAAAATGTTCTAAAATCAATTGGGGTAATGGTTGCAGAATTCTGAATAAACTAAACGTCGTTGCATTACATCCATAAATGGGGTGAATTGTATGATATGTGAATTTTTTTTTGAGAGGTTTTTTTTCTTTTAACTATAGGGCACGTGCGCTCGCCAGACAGACAGAGAGAGACATAGAGACAGAAAGCGAG